TTTCGAGAAATTATTGTGTTTAATCTTTCCTTAAAACTGACTGTTTCTCTAACACTGACAACTCTGTGCACATCTGATGTTAGCTAATCTTGATCATTTTATGTTGACAGAACATGGACTTGCAGAAAAATACATCTTTTTACCTCTGACATTGCCAAATTCTATGTAAAATATTTCTCATATATGAGCAATACTAAGCAATGTTAACAATACTAAGCAATATGAAGGAATACTAGCAATACTAACTTAAAACAATGTATTTAATTCCAATATGTATAAATTTAACTAGAGTACAAGCAACAGCTGAGGCTTCCCTACTTTACATTTTTATGACTGTGTGGTAAGCTGTCCTGGGCTCCATTCAACCTTTCGTTACATGCTATGCTCTTGCTGAGGTGTCTAAAAGCAATGCCACTATTGGGATTGCTGTTTTTAAGTCTTTATTGTGTTAAGGATGTGGGACCCTCCTTTAAGTACCAGGTTTGTGGTGTATCATCCACAGTGTCAATGGACACAGTAACTAAAAGAAAAAGATAGGCTTCAAATTGGTAACTGTTGTTGTTGAAACTGTGTCGTTTATGCATACATTGCTAATACTCCCTCAGCCGCTCCTCATAAAACTTGTGCTACAGACCCCTCACCAGCTTCATTGCCCCTTCAACACAGTCAAGCACCTCGATGTCTTTCCTGACTGAACACTGTATTCAAGGTGCAGCCTCACCAATGCTGAGTACAGGGGGATGATCACTTCCCTGCTCCTGCTGGCCACACTATTCCTGATACAAGACAGGATGTCATTGGCCTTTTTGGCCACATGTGCACACTACTGACTCATATTCATGTTCTGCTTTTTACACTTTCAAAGATAATGGGTGCACTTATGAGCAAGCAATTGTGAATACAGCTAGGATAATATTTTCTAGTAACAGTTCTAATATGGCATACGCGAAATTATATGTACATTTATGTGCAAATATGTGATAAATTATCTTTTGAGATACTAAAAAACACTGCAGTGTAACTACAAACTTCAGTCTCATTCATGTCAGTTGATTCTTTATGCAATAAAACTACTGTGATGAATATTGCTGGAAAAAGGTCACTATCTATCTCAGAAAGCAAAGTGGGAAAAACAGCTGCAAGAATGAAACAAATGGCAAGATCTGGCAAAATAATAAGGAAGGAAAATAAACTCCAATGTCGATGAAGAATTTATTTGTAAATTTATTTTTAATTATTATGGATTAAAACACTGTTGATACCTAGTAGTACTTCCTTTAGGTGACAGCTATTAGAGTATAATTTTTAGATTTAGAATATGTTTTTTCTGGATATACTCAAAATAAATTGGAGTTTTTCAGAACAAGTTTGAAACTGCGTAATACTTTGTAATTCATCACTTTTTGAAAAATAATAAATGAGCCTTGAAACTATATACTAACAAAAATAAATAAAAATTATAAATCAGCTTTCGGTATGTTAAGAAAGAATAATAGAGCATACATACACTTTCTGCACAGAAAAAGACATAAAGGAAGCATTAACCATAACTCTAATGCCAAATATGAATAAAATGTCTTTTCTGACATGAGGTTTAACCTTCTTTTTGAACATCCCTTCAATGTTTCTCTGAAATTGGGAAAAGTACCTTTTATCAAACTTACTGTCTCCTGGTATATTTTTGCAAAGATAGCTCAAAGATAAATAGTGTAATTCATAGGTAGGTTTGGTTTCCCACACTTCTCTTTCATGTTTTTAACCTTGACTAGAAACTACCAACGTAATTATTATTTGAGGTTCTGCATATACAAAATTCACTTATATAGTTTTGATTTCTACCCTCAGGATGCTGTGTATTACATGAAGGAAAGAATGACCATCCTCCTTTCTTACCATAATAATAAATACTGACCTGAAAAAAACATTGAATGTCCACAATCAGTCAATATGTACTTTGCCAGCATTGCAAACATGGTTGACTTAAACAAGGAACTCTTTGGCTGTTACTGGATTACATAACCCATTCATTATTGAACCTCATTTCCATCATGTTATTCTAGTAGAACCCTCTCAAACTGACTTAAACTGTGAATAAATGAATGCATAAGTTGCATTTTGAATTATAGACACTGGTTTCAAGAGTAATGTGATATTCAACAGTTTTCAAGCTCCCTTGACAGATATATAGATGCATGATAAAAATAAGAAAAAATATATCAATCATGAGCTCAGAAAGCAAGCAGATGTAAATCACAAATCCAGATGAATCTGGTAGCCTCAGTTTTAGAATTTCTGCTGATCATTTCACTGGCATGTTTGTCATCTAACTTATTTTCCATTTTTAAAATCACACTTAGTACTTATTTTTGACTGAATCCTTTCCATGACAAACATTCTCTCCTAGTCATTGACCATGAATCATTGAGTGCTGTCTTGTACTCTTACTATCTCACATAATTTCCAAATGACATCTCCAAACATGTTATAGAGAAATTAACAGGAAGATGGCATTTTATGTCACCTACCTATCCAAATCATTTTGGCTTTGGATAAAGTCAGATAAAAGGAAACATCCAGAAATGATTTGACTATACAATCCAAATAGCCTTTGGAAAGGTGTGTACATCAGCAGGGAAAAGAAATAACTACTACAGAGTTTATGTACTACATTTTGAATATATTTTTTTTTTCACTAATAGTTTGAAAATTTGGACTAACAGACCATTAGAACATTAATTAGAATAACAATCAATTTTTAGCTCTGCATATAATTTCTGTTCCCTTTTGCTTCTTTTGTGTAAAACTCTCACCGTGCATGTGATTTTTACACTTTTCCCAAACTTGCCAGAAAATACTGAAGGACAACTTTATATCTCATGTTAGTTTTAAATTTGCTTGCTCAAATTAACAACTTTTTTGCTCTAACCAGAGGAAAAAAAAAAAAGCTGAAAGTACAGTCTTAACTGCTCCTCTTTCTCAGTTCTGTACTCTTTATTTGCCATTTTACTTATCTTTACTTATCACTTCCCATTTGCAAACACTTATTTTCCCTCAGCCAAAGTTGTTCTGCATTTATCAACATCTCTCTCCTTCTAATGCAGATGAGTTAGCCTATAAAATTGTGAACACTTTTCCGTCTGAAGAATCTTCCTTCACTCATCATGCCTACAAGAAAATTATTTTGACACCACTCATAGTTTATGATCTGAGATCATTAATATTGAAAAATACTGCAATAAAAAAAAATTAATCAGCAGGTTTCTGAAGGAGCCTAAATAATTTGAAATTCAGGGTGCCCTGCAAAGTGATTTATTTCCTGGGACTTCTGGGAACAATATAGTTCCAAATACAATAGCATAGTGTTTTGATACAATGACACTTCTTTTGTGGCCAAGGTTAATTTTCATAAACTGTCAGTCTGGCCTGGATTGAGGAACTGGCCTAGATACTTTGGAACACTTGTGAGGAAAGACTTTACACTTGATAAGTGTATGAACTAAGTATAGGGACTATTTCCAAGGGTCTCAACATGCTTTGGAAATGGCTGTGTCATTCAAATGCTAGTGCTAAATTTACAGACTCAAAGCAACAAAGTGGAAACAAAAAGGCAGTGTACTCATTCAGAAGTTTGCACTCTTAAATTTTTACTTAAAATTTCATTAATTTTAATAAGCATTTCTTTTCTCAACCCCCCCAACTTTTTTAATCCTTTCAAGAAACATGTTATAACTAATAATCCCATGCAGCAGTACATGCTGGGGACCAACTGCCTGGAAAGCAGTTTTGCAGAGAGGTTGGGGTCCTCATGGGCAGCAAGCTGAGCATGAGCCAGCAACGTGCCCTTGCAGCAAAGAAGGTCAACAGCACCCTGAGCTCCATTAGGAAAAGTATTGACAAGAGTCAATAGGCACAATCCAAAATACAGAAAATTCCTTTTAAATACAGGAACAAACTTTTTACTGAGTGGGTGTTCAAACACCTGAACAGGTTGCCCAGAGAGATTGTGCAGTCTCCATCTTTGGAGATATTTAAAATCTGACTGGATATAGTCCTGAGATAGCTCTAGCTGACCTTGCTTTGAGCAGGGAGGTTGGGCTAGATGATCTCCAGAGGTGTTTTACAACCTCAGCTATTCTGTGATTCTGTCATTTTGAACATGTCAGTATTTCTCTACAGTATTTCACAAGTTCAAAACCATGAAAAGAATGAAAATCTGGATTATAGAAAATTAATTTTATGTGTTTATCACCAACCATTGGTGCTAACTGCTACCCATTACTAATGACACTAACTTCCACTTTCAAACAATTGACCATTTTGAATTATTTCCTTGTACTTGTCTGAATATTATTGTGTCATTATATGTCATATATTTTTCAATAAATTGCATGGCAAAACATAAGTGTCAATTGAAAAGAATTTAAAGGACACTTCCAGTGTCCTTTATATATGCATCTAGTATGCTACACAGCCAGATGTACAGTTCTACCAACTTCTATTGACGTTCACTTCCTAACCACCTCATTTTTTATCACATGGTTGTCAATGAAATTTACTCACTGCAGTTTGCTGTAACTCAGAGAAAGTTAAAGAGGAAGAATATTTTTTCTTCAAAATAGGTTGCATTCTTCAAACATAAGCACAGAAAAATAATGTTACCTTGTATAAAACATGAAATATTCAAAGAGAAAGGGTTGAAAAATAACTTTATAATGAATTATAAAATATTATGTTTTGATACAGAAGAGATACTGAGTGGGCTGCTGTAAGGAACAATGTGTTAAAGCAAATCAATTTTTCACAGATATCTTCAGTCGTTTCATTCAAATATTTCTGAATAACTTTAACCAGCAATGTTAATGTGATTCTAGCAGGACAAACAATACATATAGTGCCTGGAAATCTGCTTCTTATGCATTAAAATAAAACATAGAAACTAGGGCTCTGTAGAAAGATAAGTAAACTTGACAATCATACAGAAATCTTAATGATAAACCTACCTTGCCTACATACTGATAATCAGATCCTGTATATTCCTCCAAAAGGAAAAACTGGTTCCACATCCAGCCTCGCTTCTGGCGGTGAATTGCTTTTCCATCATTCCCTGATATACGTCCGCCAAAGCTTTTGGGTCTGAGATCAGGAGTCCTTCTGAACAGCATTTCTGTATGGCAGGGATGCAGCAGCCACATCCAGAGCAGCAAAAGTAATAGGACTTGCTGTATTGTCATAGTTCTCCACTGCTGGTACTCTTCAAGCTGGTCAGTGATGGAGTCTACAGTTTTGTTTTGCTTGACTTGCTTTTTATGTCTCTAGTTGCTGATACAGCCAAGCAGTTTCCAGCAACTCATCTTTGAACTGTACATAGTATCCAAAGCCTGAAAGTAAACAGAAATTAGACAATGTGAGTTGAAATGTATTCACTCCCTAGTGTCCAACATCCCTGCTACTGTACCATGCAGATACAAAACATTATGACACAGAAAGCAATCTGGTTAGGAATATAAAGGTTATCCAAGGCCAGGTTGGACAGGCCTCTGAGCAACTTGATCGAGTTAAAGACATCCCTGTTCACTGCAGCGGGGTTGGACTAGGTCACCTCTAAAGGTGCCTTCCAACCCAAAGCATTCTATGATTCTATGATCCAGATATCGAGAACATTGTGAATAAGTTAAGTAGCTGCTGTCAAAACACTTCCTAAGAAAGAGTAAGAATGACCTGAGATGATCAACTATTTCCCCATTAAAATCTTTCAGGTCAGAAACTTCTAAGAGTGTTCTTTGTATAGACTGGGGGATTAATATTGCTGAAACTTACACATTAAATACTGATGCCTTTGCTTCAGATATTTTCCACCTGATTTGATTTACAAGAATTCCAGTGTTTTATTAATCTTACTATCAAGAGGACTGAAAAGCCAACACAAAGTAGTTTTAGAAATGAAGAAATGGTAAAACATCGGTTCTCCAGAGTGTTTTAAAAAGTAAAGAGAACATCATATGCATCAGAAGAAATACAACATGACAAGAAGCAAACTTATAAATAGAAAAAGTTCTCGAGATGATCTTGCAATATGGAGTGATGCAAACTTAACCTTAAAATGTAGGAAGTATTTAAAAAATGAGGGCCTGTTTTCCAAGTATCCTGAATAAATTTCATTTTGGAAAGTAATGGAATTAATCTGATCACGGAAAGTGATATTGCAGAGAGAAGGCAAGCCTCTCCTAACTCATCATTGTTTGTCTCCATTTCTTTTTTTTGTTTTGCTTTGATTTCTTTTAGTTTTCCTTCTACTGACAGAATGATGAGATGTTATTTCAGCAAGACAAATTTAACCAGGTTCTCTTCACTTTATTTCTATCCCAGCATTTAAAGACTTAACACCTTTTCTCAGTGAGATCATTCGGTAATGTTTTTCTTCAGTAAATCATGAAAACCTATCTTTCGTCTTCTTTCTGAAAATTTTAAGGGCTGTGGGTTTTTTCGGTTTTTTTAGCATACCTGCACAAAACAAAATGGATGGATCATGGTTACAGTTCCTTGTATATCCTTCCATATGTGGCACAAAACTCAAGAAGCAAAAAGCTTGTGTTTTTTTCCTCCTCTTTTTTGATTTTGATAGGTAAATAATATTGCCTGCAGCAATCCTGTGTGTCGTCTGGTTTCAATAACATTATACTATGGTTCACTATCATCTTAAATATTTATTTTTAGTGGTCAACAGTTCGATGTCTGGATGGAGACCGGTGATGATGAGTGGTGTCCCTCAGAGGTCCGTGCTGGAACCGGTGCTGTTTAATGTTTTCATCAGTGACTTAGACAGCGAGATCAAGTGCACACTCGGCAAGTTTGCAGATGACACCAAGCTGAGTGGTGTGGTTGACACACCAGAAAGACGGGATGTCATCCAGAGAGACCTGGACAGGCTGGAGAGGTGGGCCTGTGTGAACCTCATGAGGTTCAACAAGGCCAAGTGCAAGTTTCTGCACCTGGGTCAGGGTAACCCCCAGTATCAATACATGCTGGGGGAAGAAAGGATCAAGAGCAGCCCTGCCAAGAGGGACTTGGAGGTACTGATGGACAAAAAACTGGACATGAGCCAGCAATGTGCACTGGCAGCCCAGAAGGCCAACCGTACTCTGGGCTGCATCAAGAGAAGCGTGGCCAGCAGGTCAAGGGTGGTGATTCTGCCCCTCTACTCTGCTCTGGTAAGACCTCACCTAGAGTACTGCATCCAGCTCTGGAGCCCTCAGGACGAGAAGGACATGGAACTGTTGGAGCGGGTCCAGAGGAGGGCTACAAAAATGATCCGAGGGCTGGAGCACCTCTCCTATGAGGACAGGCTGAGGGAGTTGGGCTTGTTCAGCCTGGAGAAGAGAAGGCTGCGGGGAGACCTGATTGCGGCGGTTGCCCAGAGAGGTGGTGGAGGCCCCATCCCTGGAAACATTCAAGGCCAGGTTGGACGGGGCTCTGAGCAACCTGATCTAGTTAGCGGTGTCCCTGCTCACTGCAGGGGGGTTGGACTCGATGACCTCTAGGGGTCCCTTCCAACCCAAAACATTCTATGATTCTATGATTTTTCAAAGTAGAGCTATGTAAAACTTTCAGAAATTCTTTTTGAGTTTCAGTTTTATATTGATGTGCTACTTAAGATATTTCCTGTAAGCCTCTGTTGATTAAAAGAGTTTGCAATAAAATGGAAGGGGTTTAGAGTGGAAAGTCTATGGTATGTAGTGATTTCTTGCAGTGAAAAGACTCTGTGTGTGCATGCATTTGTATGTGTGTGTGTTCTCTTAGGAGAACATTTTCCCCTCTCCTCCAACATCTGGAAGACTAAAGAACTTCTCAAAGCCACTGCTTTCAAGGACTTCAGCCCCAACACTGTTCACAGTAACTCACAGGCATTAATTTCCATTTGTCTAAATAAACATCAGGATATGTATCATTTCATTTACCCATTCTTTCTTTCTCCTAAAACTTTGACATTTACTTGATTTATGAACTTTAAATACTACCCAGAACAATCAGTTTTAATATAAACCACTAGTAACATATGTTGAATTATATCAACATGTACAAAGTGGAGATGTGGTCCTCCACCTTGGAAATCATTTATTACAACTCATATTTATGTTCTTTTGAAATGAAGGTATACTGTGTGAGAGAGGGGGACTATGATTTATTCTCAGATACTTAGAAATGTTTCTTCTCAAAGACAATAAGAATTTCAAATTTGAAATTATCTCTTCAAAAATTTAAAAGCTATTGTGTCTGGGGTTTTTTTGAAAAAAAAGCTATAATATTTTCTTTTTGTGTGTGTGTGGTTTGTTCTTTTTTTCACTTTTTTTGTTGCCATCAGTACATATATTCCATTATTCACACATTATTATTTGATGTAGAAGTGTTGTTAAATTCCTCTTGGGAAATAATGCTTCAAAATCAGGGGCTGTTATTGAATTTCCTCCTTGTTAAATTAGGTCAGCAGAATGAAAGCTCAGATGAAATCGTTAAAGTTAAAAAAGTAGCTAATGCACATGGACTTGGCAAGCATGGCTGCTTAATGGATGTATGTACCAACAAGGCCTTTTCCCTCTGTTGAGACTCCTGTTGGAATTCAGCTTCCTGCTTTAAATGTAATGAGTGTGATAGTAATCCACACTAAAGCAATAACATTTACCTTTAGAAATAAGCTAGCAAAAAAAGAAAAAAAACATGAACTAATAACAATGAAATAAAAAGCACTGGTATAAAGAAAATGTTTGAAGAGAAATAGCTGAAGGAAAGCTTTTAATATATAACTACAGAAAGTAGACAAATATCCCAGTTCTGTAATACATTGCATATTTGGGTTTTGTACTACCCTGCCAGAGATTTTTTTTTTTTTTAAATTCCCTGGAAAACTAACTGAAAAAATGCCTAAATTTTGGTGCAAGTCTTATCTTGAAGAGGGTATGAGAACGCAGCAGAATTGTAATAGTTTTGCTGGCTTCAGGTAAGATTTTGGGGGTTTTGTTTGTTTTTGGTTTGTTGGGTTGTTTTTTTAAATGGAAATAGTTTTAAATATTTTTAAATAATTTTAAATTAAAGTATTTTACCAGTCTTTCTCTTCAAATTTCTCTCTACCTCTTTTTCTAGAAGATAGCGTCTCAACTTTTTCCCACAGTAGAAACGAAACAAAGAAAAAAACAGTAAAAAAAAAATTAAAGTTTTTAAAAAACTATCAAATGTATGCAAGGTGCCATATATCTGTGTAATGTCCTTCTAAATTATGTTAAACTTACTACAGAGGAACATTGTGCCCAACTCTGCTCTTGTTTACACAGGGGTTTTTTGGGAATTATTTTTAATGAGTTTTCTTGGAACGATCTCTAGTATGGAGGAGATAGATGGGTCAGTCATCACTGAAGCTATTAGTCATTTCACCTTTAGCTTTCAGCTAACAATTTTAAAACAATTAGACAGTTCTCACTTTCCACAGGTTCATCACCTTGATATTTCTCAGAACTTTTGAAGACAAGCTTTTAGTGCAACTTCTACTGTATTCATGTGATTTCAAATGCAATTTTTGCAAAATTTGGAAAATATTATATTTTGCTTGCAATCCTCCTAATAATATTAAGTCATACTTCATATCATTTGGAACTCATGAGATTTGACAGACACTTAAGATGGGCCATGAATACCTTTGACTGATGCATTTCTTCTCAGTTGGACTTCCATTTACTGGTTGCTCCAGGAGGTTGATCTTTTACAGCTGAGGTATTATTTTTTAGTGAAGGATTTCTGTCTTTTGGCATTAATATATAGCTGCTTTTGGAAGTCAGCAGAATTAAATCTAAAGTATAAACTGTAATATGGGTCAAAAGCTTGCCTTTTTTTTAATGAAGAAATTTTAGTAAACTTCAATCCTGTGAAGAGCAAATTTGAACAGCAAAAAGTTTTACTTGGGATAAATACCATTTATGATTTTCGTTTCATATTTAATTTAACCTTGGTCAAACTGAATTTTAGTTGTGTAATATTTCAAAAAGCATGTTAAAAATATATTTATGCAGTGCCATTTCTTTTTTCAACATTTCTGTTTCAGTAATTATCTGTTCACATCTCTAATCTTGTCTTTCAGTGCTTTTTTGCTATGTTTGTGCAAAAGAAAGATACTTTTCAAACCAAAGATGCTTCATGACAAATTAGGTTAAACTACATCGGAATTTTATGAGGAGAATAAGCTTTA